ATGATAAAATGGACAACCAAATAAAAATAGTAGGAAAAAAGACACTTCATGTAAAAAATATTAAAATGACCAATATGCACAAAAAAGTGCTCAATATTATTAATTTTCAGGAAAATGCAAATTAAGACTATAATAAGATACTACTACCCACATGCTACAATGTCTAAAATTTAAAAAGAGTTCATGCAACAAGTGTTGGTGACGATAAAGAACACTTGATATTCCCATATATTGCAGGTAGGAGTGTGAAATGGTGCAGCCACTTTGTAGAACTATTTAGTAGTTTCTTATAAAGTTAAGCAAACATCTACAACTCTATGACCCAGCAATACCCCTTCTAGGTACTTATACCCAAAGGAAATAAAAACTTATTTCTACAGAAAAAAAAAAAAGAGATCGAATTGAAACTCACCAAATGGAGTGCTGGAGTCAGCTCCTATTGGTTCATGGGAGCCAACTGTTAATATTTCACAAATTTTAGGAGCTGGTTGTTAATCACAGTCATTATTAAAAATTAAATTATGTAAACTTACAAGTAAATTATATTGATAATAGATGTAATGGATACTCAAAAGGCATTACTTTCTAATTATTTACTACATTTTATTATCATCTCTGCTCTTGAAGTTATTTACACCTATTTTATCTGTGCGATGGAAAGACCGTATACTGGTGTGGTACTCTCATCTTTTCTGAACCCCGTGTTCAATGACATCAAATCAGTAGCTTGAAATTGGCTATGGTGGGAATATTTACACCACAGAAATCAGCAAATGCTACAAATCAGCCACCCCTCCCTCAAGAGAGCTAATTGTTAAACATTTACCAACACACCACAACCCTTAAATGTGATCCAGTGGGATCCAGTGCTTCTAGAAACTCTCTGATGTGGTCACGTGATTCTGACTAAGGTCACCTTGTGGGAAAGGACACCAACCTCATCTAAGAAAAACTCAACCACGAGAAGAAGGAAGGTGGGCTGTTCTGGGACTGTGCATGGGTGAAACCACACCCCCTGAACCTGGTCATACTGGGAATCATGAGGAATGTGGAGCTGTGAATAAGAAGAGGTAGAACCTTGAAGCCTGAATGTGGGACTCCCCAACTTGGAATAAAACCCAGACACCTTACTGTGCCCTGTGAAGTCCTGCTGCACGTGGGCCCTGATGACCTCGCCGACCACCACTCCCCATGCCCTCCCTCACTCAGCATCAACCACACTGGCCACCCAGGGACTCTGAGACCACCCCATCTCCTTCCCTCGTCATCCCGAGTTGCCCAGATCTGTCCTCTACTCTGAAGTGCCCTCCACCTAACATGTGGGTGATTCTCTGTTATTCCTTAGGTCTTGGCTTAATGCTTCCTCCTCTGAGAGGTGGTCCCGGGCTGCTGCATTTAAAGAGATTCCCTTCTCCCTCCCTCCCCCCCAGCCCCCATCACCATTCATCACAGTATCCACTTTATTCCTTTACAGGTTGGTATCATGATCTGTGATCATCTTCTAGCTGGGTTTGGTTACTTGGTACGTGTCTCCCCCTGCACAGGAAGCTCTGTGAGGGCAGGACCAGGTGTGATCGGCTCACCTTTGCACCTTCCGTGCCCAGCACTGGGCCTGGATCGCAGCGGGTTCTCAGTTCGTGCTTGTTGGATGACTGGAGTAAGAATGAGCCAGTTGTCCTCCAGCACCTTGGATTTGATGATCCTGAGTCCTGGTGAAGGAAGGGCCTAGGGTAAAGAGGAGACAAATGACAGAGGGCAGTTTGCCTCGAGGCTGAGTCCGACCCCAGAAGTCGGGTGGGAGGTGTCACCTATGCAGCAGAGGGCGGTGTGTGGGTAGCGGTGGAGGTGGTACTTTGCTCATCTGATGTCATTAGGGCCCAGGTAGAGTCCCAGCAGCCTGAGCTGGCCCTGGTCTCCTGGAAGGAGAAGAAATAGGAGAGTTGGAGTTCAGAGAAGAGTGAGAAGGAAAGTGGTCAGTGCCTTTCAAAATGATGCATGGAAAGGGCTCCCTGCCCTGGGTCCCCTCTGCGGGGATGGTGCCTGGTCCTCTGCTGGCCGCAGACCTCCCTGTGGGGTGGGGGGTCCACGGGGCCAAGAAGACATACCAACTTACAGCTTGAACCCTCTTCTCTAGACCTTTCCCAGTGGGCCCTGAGCTGGCTTCCAGGCAGGATCAGGACTCTCCCAGGGCCCATGGCAGGGCTGTGATCAGCACTCGGATATGTGGGCATTGTCCTCATGGGCCCTTCATAGTGCAAGACAGCCAGGAAAGGAAAAAGCAGGGGGAAGTGGGCTCAAACCCACAAATATAGGGGGTGGGCCTGGTTGAGAGGAACTACATGGGGCTCCCAGAGCTGCTGGGAGGAGTGAGTAGGGGGCTGGAGCACCTGCAGGTGGTCATGGGACTCCCTTTGCTCCTTGGTGGGAAGAGGGGATCTCAGCTGCTACCAGGTTCCCACAGGCAGGCGTCCCCGAGTCTACTTTACCTGCCGTGGCTGGCGTGTTGTCACGGGGGTCGGGGGTGACCAGTGCTCTGGAGCCCAGTCAGGACCTGGGACAGAATTTCACCGGGAAATGGATGGATGATGAGTTACCATGTGTACCCGGAGGTGGGTGTAATGCAGCCCTGGGGGAGGGATCCAGACCCCCTCCCCACCTGCCCAAACATCTGGGTGGCAGGAGCTGGGATTCCCCTGGTGGCCTTGGAGGAAGAGAGTGGAGTAGGGGACAGGGCTGCACCATGGGAGGTTGACAAGGTAGGACTGCTGTCCCCCCTTCTTCCTTCTACCTTTGTCCTCTTTTTCTTCCCCTCTCCCCACAGGCTGACCCTGCTGCCTGAGACTGGGGGCTTAGGGAAAGGGGAGGGGGAGCCTGGACAGGGCAGGCACTCTGGAAGGGAAGAGGAGGAAATTCCTGGTCTGAGCATGAGGGCAGGAAGGGTGGGACCCTCTGGGGATAGACCAGACAGGAGTTCTCTGGTAAAGCCCCCTCCCCTCCCACCAAGCACATAGAAACTGGCTTTTGCTTGTGAGTCTGAGCAAGAGTCAGCAGCTTCAGAGAGAGGTACCTGCTGCCTGGCCTGGCGAAGCTTTGGAGAAAGTATTCATGGATGTGAGCAAGTGCGGAAAGAGCCCAGGCATCAGGGTTGGAAGGACTTGGGTTCGAATTCCGGCCCTGGCACTTCCTGTGTGTGCCCTTGAGCAAGTGACTTTGCATCTCCGTCTTCCTTGGCCTGTTTCCTCACCTGTGATGTCCCTTTTCTCTCTTCTCTGTGTCAACCATGGCCTTCAACACTCTCACATGATGGCTGTTTTTAATAGATCTCTTTTCAGCCCATTGGTTTGTTTTCCTGTCCTTACTATAAGCTTAGATCCCACAAACTGCTTATTTTTCTTTCTGTTTTTTAAAAACAAAGGCCAGCTTTGACAACATGTAAGTAAACATGAGAATGTTTCATCACTGAGCTGGGCTCTAGGAAACCATTTTGTGTGTCAAAGCTCATAATGACAGCAATGACTTTAGGTACAGAGAAACCAGTCTGTTGAGGACACAAATATTAACACAACTTCTTAGTTTTTCTGATCACGGTTTTGCAACCACTAGAGAGACACATCATGGCATGTTTGGGCTGTATGCTCTATGTTGATGACACCACCGAAGTGATTTCCCAAGACCCAAATCTGATCGTGTTCCTCACTCACTTAAACATCTCTAGTGACCACCATTGCCCAAGGGAGCAAGCCCACGCTTGGAAGGCAAAACCATGGCTAATGTGATCCAAACATACTCTTCAGCAGCTTCGTCGCCTGCCTTCCCAACCCTCTGCTTCCTTTCACCACATCCCGTGCCCCAGGAGGATGGATTTCACCACCTCTGAGACACATCCTGTTCCCTTATGTTTCAGAGCCTCTACACGTGTCTTTCTTTCTTTGTTTCTCTGAAAAGTTTCTATGTGTTCTTCAAAACCCAGCACAAATGCATCTCTGGGAAGCATTCCCCAGTCCCCCCAGGCAGAGCTGTGTGTTCCCTCGCCTGACTCTTGGGTAGAGAGCTTTACATGCCTGTATGAATGTACTTACAGCATCGTGTTGAATATTGGAGGCCTCTGTCTACACTGCTGGCCTGGGAATGAACTGCCCGAGGTGTGGCCGGTGTTCTCCTCACCTTTGTATCCCCAGAGCCCAGCACAGTGATTGGTAGATAGTAGGAGCTTAAGCAGGTGAATGAATACAGACCCATGACCTGATATGTACATCGTGTTATTTTTCCAAGAAAATCAGTTACTAGTATGGATTCTGGAGTCAACCAGCCCTGAATTCAAATCTCAGTTCTGTCATTTGTGAATGAATTTAGCCAGATTACTTAATGTCTCGGTTTCCTCAGCTGATAAATGGGAGTAACATTAACCTCATAGGGATGTTGGGAAGATCAAATACGAAAGTAAGCTACTTAGCAGCGCCAGGCGCAAGTAGTCATCTGATGAACGGTAACTGTAATTATTGGACCAAGTGTCCGTGTTTTCATGACAGACCCCTTTGTATGTAGCAACACGTGGCTATGAGGCAAACTGCTTGGAACAGAGATGCTACTGGTGCAGAATCAATCCATTTGAGCGTCAGACCATTAACCTTGATCCTGTTGGCACTGTGCCCAGCCTAGCTGTATTTGAAGATCAAGGGGAAGACTCAAGGGGGTCTAACATCTAGGGAAGCAAGAAAAACCATTTAAACCAGGTAGTGTATCAGTGAATGTTACCCCTTGTTACGTTTTGTATAGGCAAGTCCATTGTTTCCTTGCTGTTCGGTGATTATTAATAAATGTAACTGTTTGCATTTCCCAAATATGTTCAAATTTCACAAGTCATATATTTCCAGGACAAAAGCCAAAATGAATCAACTCAGTCTTTGGAAAAGCTGCTGATGGAGGCATAATCCACTTCTTTAATTGACATTAAGGATTTGAAGTTGAACACACAGAAGGCAAATGAATGAATTGCTTAATTTTGTCTTTCTGGCACTTTAATCATTCCATCATTACCCAGAACATATATACCCCCATGCATATTCTTCTAAATATTCTATTACGAATGCATCGTTTTTTCATCAACTGCAGATTTTATTTGTGCTTAGAAAGCATTCAGTTACCACCCTGAAGGAGTTAAGAGGCAGCACAGATACTTGCTCAGCCAGTATAAGACCTACTCAAGCGTCTTAAAGCTGCTGCCTTTACTTCAACAGCTTGGCCTGGCTGCACGACTCAAGCTGCCAAGGAAATAAACCAGGACCTTTGAGGGTTCTTCATGCTGGCGTCGCATTTGCCAATCTGGCTTGGAAGGGGCTCTTGACAAAGGTGATTCCTCCTTGTGCTTCTGCCGCTTTGACTTGTTTCAGTGCAAGAGGGCCACCAGTAGTTTCCTGAAGTCCCCAGAGGTGTCTGAGCGAACCATGTCGGAGAGAGACTTCTGATACTTCTCTTGGAACTTTGCTTTTATCCCCTGAAGGTCCACCTGGAGGAGAGATGACAGTAGCGATGGGGACATTCATAGCGTTTACACCATAAACCCAGGCAGCCACTGTTCTGAGCACATTAGCCTCATTTGCTCATTTATGCCTCAAAACTATCCTTAGATTTGGGGGTATTAGTCTTCGTATTTTGTGGCTGAGAAAAGGGAAGCTGAGTTCAGCTCCCCAAAAGTGGCAGAGGTGTCTGTGTGTCTATGTTCCGGTAAGACTTTATTTAGGGACACTAAACCCTGAATTTCATATGATTTTTATGGGTTACAAAAATACTATTTTTCTTTTGAGCTTTTTACAGTTATTTTTAAATAATCATTTGCAGGTAGTGGTACTGTTACCAAAGCAGGTGGTGGGCCTGATTTGGCCTGCAGGCCACAAATTTGATGACTCTTGGTATAACGCTAAGGAAATTGTCAACACAATTGGAAATGAACGATTTTTTTTTTTTGTCTCCTGTACCCTGATCAGCAAGGATATTAGGGCCAATCAGCAAAATTCCAGTCATTCTCAATTTGTAGGACTTATTTTGAATCTACAGTTGACCCTTGAACAATACGGAAATTAGGAACATTGACCGCCCCCTCTGTGCAGTAGAAAATTTGCATGCTGCTCTCTCTGCCTCAAAAACAAAGGAATGGATAAATGACTCCCTGAGGGCAGGAGGCTAAAACATCTTGGACAGACTCAGGCCTCAAACCCTAGCTCTTTTGATTCTACATATTGTGATCTCTAATTGAATACAGACTTTCCCCCACACTTTGTTAATTTAAAGAACCATAAAATGTATAGATAAACAAGATTATACTGTATGGCATTGGGAAATAAATAACAAGATCTTGTGGTAGCTCACAGCGGAAAAAAAATATGACAATGAATATATGTATGTTCATGTATAACTGAAAAATTGTGCTTGACACTGGAATTTGACACAACATTGTAAAATGACTATAACTCAATAAAAAAATGTTAAAAAAAAGAGATCCATAAAATGAAGATACAGGTACTATATTTACTGAAAAAGCATCCTCGGATAAGCGCGCCCACGCTGTTCAAACCCGTGTTGCTCCAGGGTCAGCTGTAATTCCTTGAAAAACTTGAAAAACCTGGGTGCTGGAGGTGGGGAGAGGACTCAGAAGAAAAACAAATAAAAAAGTTGTCCTGCTCGAAAGATTCTTACCACCTAGCAGAGGCGACCTTACCTGCTGCAGAAAAGACACAATTCCGGATGGAACAGAGTGAGTCTCATAAAAGAGGCATGGAGCTCTCCTGCACCAGGAGTTTTGTCTTGTTTTGTTTTTTGTATGCCATTTTTTGGCATTGTTTTGTTTTGTTTGTTTGTTTCAATTTAGACTCTATCTTGATTTCTAAACAGACCCACAAGCCATTGTTCAGATTTCTGGTTCTTTTTTTCTCCTGCCCCAATTAGAGGGCTGAACAGGAGGTGGTGGGAGAGTGAGGAACTGTCGGAAGGGGATGCTGAGCAGAAGGGGGACTAGCAGGGGTGTGTGTCCCCTGCTGCCCTGGCTCCTTGGCTGCTTGGCTGGGGGAGGGGCAGCAAGTGCAGGGGTCAAGGCAGGGGTGGGGTGGGGCTCACCGGGGCTCTGTTCCAGGACCAGGAGACTTTGGGGATTAGAGGATCCAGCCAGTGTATGTGGTTGGGTTTGAAGCATTCTGAGGGAATGGCCCCCCCTGTAGCGATGACCCAGGACATGCGGTCAGGATGGAGATGGGGCAGAACGTTGTGGAATAAACGCTCCATGGCTCACACTGGAGTGAACTGGAGCCCTGAGGGGCCCTCGGAGCCATCCAGCCCTCTGGGGCCTTCAGAGTCCTTGCCGGGCTCTGTCACCAGCCTGCTCCTCAGGCCGATCCTGAGCGTCTCAGGATCTGCTCCGGAGACTGGCTGGGGGTGGAGTTACTAAGAGACATGGAGTCAGAGAAGGCAGAGACCTGGAGAGATGAGAGAGAGAGAGAGAGAGAGAGAGAGAGAGAGAGAGAGACTGGGAGCAACCGAAGAGAAACGAAGAGGGTGGCAGACAGACGAGGGGCAGGAGAGAGGAGGAGAAAGAGAAAGGGGCTTTAGGAGAGAAAGAGAAATATGAATCTTGGAGGAGGAGGAGAAAGAGGGGGAGGAGAAATTCCAGAAATAGAAATAAAAATGAAAGCACCGTCTTGTTGCTGAGTTATACTTCAAAACAGTGTCAGATGTTAAGTGTGATTTGTCAAAAAGCTGGGGGGCCGAATTTTGGTTGGTATCTTTTCCCCCTTATTTAACAAGTTTCTGAGGGAAGATGTCTGGTTTTTAAGTGCTCAGTACCACTTCGCTCTCCAAGGCTTCCCTGCCGTGGATGAAATGCCAGTTCCTCTTTTTTCGGTAATGCCTTCTGTCTGTGGCCCTACATTCCAAACCATTCGCTGTGAGTCGTGACAGCTGCTCCCAAACTTCGGCTGCTCCTCTTCCTGTCCCTTTGTCATACTCCTGCTTTCTCTGAGGGGGGCGATATTAATCCCAATGAGGGCAAAGTTTGGTTCTTAGAGGGCAAAACCAAATCTTAAAACTTTTATGAGTGGGGAGGGTCTAGCTCAAGTGGTAGAGCGCATGCTCAGCATGAAGGAGATCCTGGGTTCAATCCCCAGTACCTCCTCTAAAAATAAGAAAATAAATAAACCTAATTACCTACCCCCCAAAAAAAATTAGAAAGAAAAACCTTTTGTGTAAAATTACCTACATACAAAGGGAACATAAATACGCAGTGTATATGGAGTTAATGTTTCTTCAAGGGGAGTGACAATTAGGAAAAAACTGGGTCTAAAAAGGCTTCTTCCTGGGGCGATCCTTAATTTTAAAAACGTTGAGAAACACTGTCTTGTATTGATGTGTTTGTTGTGTCATATTGTGCTTGTGGGGTGTGTTTGATGAAGTAAAGGCCTCGCTTAGGAGTTGGGAAATCATTTGCTCGTTGTCTCTGCTGCTGGGTGACCTAGTCTGTCACTAACCATTCAGTGTCTCTGGTTTATCCGCCCGGACCAGCTCCTCCGGGTCCCTTCTGCACACTGCCACGGGCTCCCCAGGGCCACAGATGGCAGAAATAGAAACAGCCATCGTTTTTGTATTTTTATAAAAAGAAACAGATTGAAGCACAGCACAGTGTCCTCCACAAAGTCTGGGAAGACAAGGACTGCCTCTGTTTCACTTTCTTTGTAAATTCACAAAACGGACTTGTGGATGACGTCCACGGTGGCAACAAACCAGAAGGTGCAGCCCAGCTCCTCGGAGCCAAGCATGTCTTACCTCCGCCCTGGTCACAATGATGTCAATGAGCGTGTCCTCATCGGTCCCCGCACCCTTCATGGACTTGTACAGACGGTCAGCAAAATAGCCCTGGAGGTCCCGGGCACTCCTCACTGGGCAGGACGAAAGGAAAGAGAACAGGAGGCGTTCATGTTTTGTTGAATAACCACAGGACCCTTGGAAAGAACAGAACTGGCCCACAGTGTCACCTGGCTGCCCTTGCAGCTGACTGATTTGTGAGTCAGATTTTTGAAAGGCATGGACTTCACACTGTTGTGTAATGGAATCTGGAAGATTCCCCCAGGTCGGGGCACCTGGGCTCTTCAACCAGAGCCCTTTCAGACACATGAGACCCTCTCCTGTTCCCTGGAGACTCTTTGGGAGGACGGGGAATGCTGTGACCATCCTCAGTCTCTCTCTGCAAAGGTCACGACTCTCGCCAGCAGAAATAACTTCTCATCTCTAAGTAAAATCTCTGATGATGCTGGAGGCGGGTCTGGAGGGGAAACACAGGTTGGCCAGCAACCTTGCTGTCATAAACTTCATAATCTTGAAGATTCACTCCTTTGGACTGTGGTTTGCTTGCTTGTGCTAAACAACCTTCCCTCCCCTTGCTTTTCCCTGGGTTTGATTTGTGAGCCTCATCTCTGCATCTTTTCCTGGTTTCCCACAATCTTCTTAGTCCATGATCTGAGATGTGGGCTTGATGAAAATGTTCGATCCTCTCAACAGAGCATCTTCCCGTGATGCTGCTGATTGTGGGTGTGCTGCTCTTTTCTGGTCCCGTCCTAACCAGAAAGGAATAAAGCATGACCTAAACCACAGATGAATAAAGTACCAATCAGATGATGGGGTGCATCTCTTCTTCTGGGGCTAAATCATGATTCTTCCCCATTCCCCCCAGGCTCATATGGGTCCATCATGACCAGCACTTTGGGAGAACGAACCCTTCACTGTTTATGTTGTTGACATTTGCCTAGAACACTTAACATTTTTGATGTCAGTGATAAGTAATGAATTCAGTGTAAGTGTAGAATGTACATCCTTAATGTGTCCTGTGATGAGAACTCTTGTTTTCTAGGTAATTACCGATATGACTGATGCTTACAAGGGAAGGGGAGGAACAGGATTAGGGAAGCAGAGTCTGGGTTGGAGGGTCTGTCTCCTTTGACAGGTCATGCGGCAGCCGGCAGAGTATCAGTGGAAAAGCCCAGATGCAGGTGTCTGAATCCAAAAGTTGCTGGATTGGTGGTGGCTGTGGGGATTGGGGGGAGGGGGAGGCTGGCAATTTGGAAAGTAGCATATTTGAGACTCACTGTGACCCCCAGACATTCTGAGCTAGTGTCCTCACGGGGTTTTCCCGAGGACCCTCTCCTGTGCATTCATACTGATTGATGCTGAAGACATTGTCTGCCTAATGTTAGTGTGTTCCATCCCTAAACAGACAGGTGATTTCTGCCCTGATGTTTCTTCTTCTTGATATTTTAGATAAATCTTGAAGTTTTCTACTGTATATAGTCTGTGCCTGGTTGTTAGCAGCGGCAGGAATCCCCCAAAAGTTCGGAGGGGGTTAGCTCAGGAAGGTGAGGGAATAAAGCTGTTTGTGGCGTGTGGAAGGCAGGGCGGCCAGCCACTCGCTGTCTTCTGCTCCTCCTGGTCTTCAAAGCAGGGCTCCTCAAACTCCAGGGAGCATGAGATGGTCACGTGGGGACCTTGTAAATGTGTGGCTCCTGGACTCCCTTCCTGGAAGTTCTAAGTGCTGACCTGGAGTGGGGCTCCGGAAACTGCATTTTCACACCACTCCCACAGGTGATTCTGATCCAGGAGCTCTGTGGACCCCACTTTGAGAAGTGCTGCTTCAGAGCCTGCAAGCGGTGGGAATCCTTTGGTCTCACAGCACCACCTCCTCAATTTTAGCTGCAAACTGGCATCTTCGTGATTTAGGTGGGAGCAGGGTGCAGAGTGTCTAGAGAATATAGTCATGAAGTCATGTTCTACTCTCTCTGTGGTTCATTTCCAAGGTCTTTTCTAATTTCTTTGATATTTGCTACTACTGGAGTCACTAACTCCTGCATTTCATGTCCCCGACTGTAGGGATGAGCCCTTTCCTTGCTCTCTGCCTGCTTTGCTCTGGCTGGTTTTGTTTTTATCTTTACTGTAGCCTGACCTCTTGATTGGTGTGTGTCCACCATGGACTTGAAGTCTCTTAAGAGCAGGAATCGGACCTATTTACCTCTGATACCCTCACCTGGTGAAACCCCTGGTCCAGGCAGGTGCAAAGTAAATGTTAAAGAGTTGAATGGTTTTATTACCACGAATACTTAACATTAATGATTAATGTTCATCTTCTGACTGAACTCCGGTACTTTCCTATTCTTTGTTCTGCAAGTACAGGAAGGGTTTGGAGCCTTGTGGCTGGGCCCTGAGTAATCTCTCCTTGTACTTAAGACACTCATCCTGAAAGCCCTAAGGACAGTTGTCCATGTGTATCCAGTGTGGGTCAGGAATGACATCAAGACTGTTTAGGGCTCTGTATTGTATCATAATAGAAGTCCTGCAAATTTGAATGCGAAATGAGGGTGGATTAAAAAAACAATTGCTGACATTGCTCCAAAAAATCCCATCAAGAAAACAAAACAAAAGAGTTTGGCAGTGAAAGCGCATTTTTTAGCTTCCAGGGGCCTCTTTTTCGGTTCTTCCTCTTCTTCTGGGGATATTCTCTCCATTTCTTGTGCCATTTGGGACAGTGCCCTGGCCTCCTCACCACAGGGGAGTGGACAATGGACAATGCCTTCATTCCAGGGCTTGCAAAAGGGATAAAGGCGCCTGCCAGGCACAGCCCCGTGCCCATCTCTCTGCTATTTCCTGCCCGGGGGCAACACCTGGAGAGAAGGTCCTGGTGTTTGCTTGGCACGGGTCAAGATCTGGTCTCCCTTCCTCTTGCTTTCTAAACAGACCTCATTCATTCCAACGTTGAAGGCAACCAAATGGAAAAGGACACCCTCGAGCCATCAGGCGTGTGCAAACACTAGCTCATGGATTGGAACCTGAGTACTTTTGAGTGCATGTTGTGTGAATCACAGGCTGCTCCCTGAGGCTAGATAATGGTCCCAGGCTGTTGACGGATGCTCTCGGGGACCCACGATCTTCGTGGGACTGTAGTGGATGCTGTGGTGTGGCCCCCAGATGCCTTTCTCAGAACTGAGTGTTACGTGCTGGCTGCTCACAGCTGAGTCCCTTCTCAGGACTTGCTCTCTAGGGAGGGAGCTGCCTTCCCCAAGGTTGCAAATGTTCCCTGGGTGCAGCCAACCAGCTGCTTGATGTGGGGTGCAAAGGCCTGGCCCCCTTGCCTTCACTTTGGGCATCCTGACCTCCGGGCTCCCTGGGGGACCAGCCGAGCTCCTGCTGCAGCTGCCTCCCATTCCTTCTCTCCTTCCCAATACTGCTTAGATGTGTGGTTCCCAGAACCATTCCCTGAAAGCTTCCCGCACGTAAACCTCCACCTTCGAGTCTGGTTCAGGGAGCCCAGCCTAAGTCAGAGGCTTTCCCGGCTCTACTTTACCGAGAGTCAAGTAGGCCTTCTGCAGATCGCCTGACGTCTCCGCTTCGATGGCTTCCTCGATGTCTTTGCCGATGAGCTGGAGAGACAAAGCCCAAACGTTAGTCCGGGTGTTGCTTTTGGCCTTGGCGCACTTGAGGCTCTTTCCGCTACAAAAAGCACTAAACTCTCGCAGATTTGGCCATGCGGCTTAAAGGAACTCCTATCTGGCCTCCTCCCTTGCTGGGCCGGGGGTGGGGGCCCCCATTCGAGTGGGGACTCTCATGGCTGAAGAGTTAGCCCAGATTTGACCCCTAATGGATATGACCCCAGGCAGGACCACTCCCTCGGTCTCAGTTTCCTCCTCTGTAAAATCAAGGAGTATAAGAAGAATGAATAAATACTGTAACAATTTTGTTTATGTTTATACTGTCCTTGAGTCTCCTGTGTGTTTGTAAACATTCTTTCCATTTCCAATTCTCCAGGAGCCTGGGGTTATAATCACCTCCCACACCTTCCTCGATTGTGGACTGAGAATGGGAACTCAGGCGCCTACAGTTTGGGTGACAGAAGTAGAGGCGGTGAAGTTCAAGGTAAGGGCTTGGTGTGTGTTTCTGACACCAGGGGGCTACACGGTCTGGGAGTGGGGGGCTGACCACGTCAAATGCTGCTTTCCTTCGCTCTGGGGAGACTCCAAATGGCCTTACAGTCACCGCCAGCTCACACATTGTTCTGCACAGCATTACACACTAGGTTTCTTTCCAAATATTTATAGAAGCTGAAGTTCAGAGTAAATTGTGGCTAGGCTTTAACACAAGTACCGCCTGGGCCAAGCTCAGGGCAGGCACAGAAAGAGAAAAAACTTTTTTTTATCGGGTTTGGGAAATGCAGTTAAACATTAGAAATACTGAAAATTCTTAGAAATTGTCTTCTCAGGATGTGACACAATTGTGAGTCTATAAATAACAGGGGCCTTTGAGGACACGCTGGTGGAGTTTACGTAGTTTATTCTGAAAACGCGGGTAAACAAAATATTCTTTGTGATACAGGCACAATAGATGTGGGGCGAGGAGGGTTTGGATTTACTGAAATCCATTGCTTGATCTCCTCATCGGAGTCGCCCCATCTAGATGTCTGGTGGGTAATGGACCTAGATTCAAAGGGGTGGGGCTGGGGGCTTTCAGTCCTGTCCCTTTCTTAGCTCTTCCAGCCGTTTTGGGGTTTGATGTGGGAGCTCATATTTTGGAGGCAACTGCTCTCACTTTCCCATGAACAGCGTTCTTGTTCTGTAGACTGAGATTGCATTTCAAGAGGACATTGTATTCACACAAACTAATGTATTACTAAACTAACAAACCAGAAAACCTTACAATAAACCACTTTCTGTTTTTATTGTTAATATTCAGCCAGAATAGTGTCTTAAAACTTTCTGTAGCATCTCGGCCTCCACAACAGATACAAGCAGGAAAGCAGAGCCGTTCTGGGGAGGCGGGAGATGGGTTCCTTTCCCCGGCCCTAGGTGGTAACGCCAGGTTTCCGCCCTCTCAGAGTCTCTTGGCTGCCCAACTCCAGGGGGCAGTATTCACCCACTACCATGAGATGGTACCGCCCCTCTTCTCCACCTACCTCCCGCCTCCATCCCGTCCTGGTAGCTACCAAGGCACCTCCAGGGGCTCCACTGAACACAAATGGAAAACAACCCACTGGCCCAAGCTGTTGCCCCTATCTTTGCAAACGGCACGCTTCTCTCCTGCTGGAACACTTAATTGTTAGGGGGCTCTTTGGACAAAATCAGGTTTTCTAATCTCAGCACAAAAACACACGGCCAGGGTGAGTTCTAGACGAGCCCCAAAGGCTTCCAGTTTGCCAGGTAGCCTTGCCTGTGGGGAGATTATTAGAAGAACAAGGGAGACATTTCTTTCTTTTAGAACCAATGCCCTAAATTGACTGCCTCCCCACAGCAGAACCCTGTGCACAGGGAACTGGCTTTGGCTACAGCAGTTAAAGGGCTGAAGTTTCTCGAATGGGCTTAGGAACACTTAAAGGGGAGGGGAGAAGTGTGATGAGGAGGCAGTGTGCTGGGTCTGTGGGTATGTGTACATCTGATTTATGCAGAGCCCTGTTTGGGGAACTTTGTAACTCTGTAAGCCTTTCATATTTGTAAATATGGGGATGGTAATAATCTTTCACAGTGCAGTGGAGTTGGGGAAGCGTTGTTGCTTGGGCTGGGGTTTCTGAGAGTGTCAGCAGTGAAGATAGGTTTGGGGGGAAATCAAGGGCAAAAACCTGAGTTTTTGTGCCAAAAATTAAAATTCATTTCTATGCGAGGACAACCTGTGCCACGTAATACACTTCAGTGATCTGACCCTAGTCTCGTAGTGCTTTTAGCCAGAGACCATGAGAAAATTTATGGAGCCAGGTTCCCAGGAGCAGAGTGAACTCCAAAAAAATCAATGATAAGGATCAAGAAGAATGATGTTGCAGCAAAGCTTTTGGAACAGTTAGCGTTTTAGAGCTGGTTTCATGTAAAGAATCATCAGATCAATAGATTATCTGATTGTCCATTTGAGTTTTAGCTCTGATTTTTGACCCTGTTGGTTCACACAGGGAGACTCCTAACAACTGCCAGTGTTGATTGAGCACCTACTGCATGCTAGGCACAAAATGCTTTGGTTCCGATAGTTCATTTAATCCTTGCTAACCCTGAGAAGTAGCTACTGTTACTGTTTTACAGTCGCGGAAACTAAGGCACAGAACTCTTAAGAACTTGCCCAGGGTCCTACAGCTAGTGTGCAGCTTAGAGCTGACTTCTAAAGCCTTAAAATGCGTCAGGATCTGGAAGATTTGTTAAACCACAGACCGTGGGACCCCAGCCTCAAGGAATCTAATTCAGCAGGTCCAGGGCAGGGATGAAGAATTCTCATCCTAACCGTGTCCTCAAGTGATGCTGCTGCTGCTGTTTCAAGATTAACTTTGAGAACAATCGGCCTAGAGCGTATCCTTGGCCAGACAGTAGTTCACGGACACACGCACACACGCACAGTCACACGTGTGTGTTTCTATAATGACCCCCAAGGACAGCCACCCCAGGATCTCCATCCACGACTCCTCTTGTGGGAAGAGGGTCTGGGTCACGGAGAAGTCTTCCAGCTCCGTCTCTACAGCTCCAGGCCTCGAGGCCAGGGGAGTGCGGGGTCAGCTGCCTTTGATCAGAACTCTGGGCACAATTTGAAAGCGGAGGGCCCTAAAGGCTTATATACAGTAATGATAAAATTCCAAAGTTTTATTGTCTTTTCATCTGCTGGCAACACATAGGAAACGCTATTTTGAGTGAGGAGCAGCCAGCTCGGGCTGAGGTAGGCGCTCCGGCTGGGGAATCTTGGAGTTCTCATCCACTCTCTGCTACTGACTTGCTGTGTGGTCCTGATAAGTTACAGATGGCTCCTTACTCACTACAGACTTTCCTTGTCCAGCAGTTGTGGGTAATGATGGCCGTTCAGCTTCCTTTAGAGTCACAGCCCTGTTGTGAAATTGAAATGCGATACAGGGCACAGAACGGCTTTGCATAGTTAAAAGCACTCCACAAACATAAGATAGGAGGACTCCCCTGCTAAATCTGATATTTCACAAAAGGCTTCTTGTAACTAAAGACTGATTTTCAGGGATGGGCTCAACCACAAAGTGCCTAGAAATAGCTAGTTGGATTAAAATTATCATTAGATGAAAAACCATTGTATAGAAGTAATTTATACGTATCTTTTCAGGAGTGTATCTCTGAGGTCTTATCACATCTGTCTCAGGAGCAGTAGGCATTGGGAGCCCAATTGTCAATTGGAATAATAATCACAGGAAACGTCTGTATGTGTCCCACATGCCAGATACTGTCCTGAGCCTTTGACAATCATCTTACTTAACTCTTTGAATAACCCCATGAGGATGTGATGGTGAAGATCACGGTCTCTGTTTTACAAATGGGGATGGAGGAGTCTGGTCAGTTATTAGTGGTAGAACCAGGATTTGAACCTGGACCCTCTGACTCTAGCGCTTTGCTCTTAAACTTGACACCTCTCTGCTTTCCCAGCCTCTGTTGCAAAGCGGGATTTCTCAGCCTCAGCACTACATTGGGGGCCGAGTGATTCTTTGTTGTGGGGGGCGGTCCTGTGCATCGTGGGACGTTTAACAGCATCCCTGGCCTTGACCTCTAGATGCCAGTAGCACTGTTCCTCCCAGCACAGCCAGCAGTGACGACCTCGGATGTTTCCAGACATTATCAAATATCACTTGGGGGCAGGGGGGAGGTGGCCAAAGTCACCCCTGATTGAGAACCACTGTGGTAAAAGACACCTCCTGTGCCTTCCCCCTCAGTTCCATATCCCAGAGCTCAGCTTCTTTTGGAAATAACTTGAGACTGAGTTTCAGTGTGAACTGCACACCCTAGTGCTCAACCACTTACAATTTGATAGGCTTCAAAGGTGGCTCGTAACTGCTTGCGACTCCTTCTGGCCAGGACTTCGTTGAAGGTCAGTTCGTCGCTGCCCCAGCGGCCTTCCCCTGCCTAAAGGGCCAAGTGCAAACATTTTGAAAAAGACTTTTGCAAAGAGACTGAATATGCAGAGCTGTGACAAGCCCTCCCTTACAGGAAACAATAAAATGTGCACTGAATAGAAGCCAAATTGATTGACGAAGCAATTTAAACTTCTAGCCCACAAGTATACCTCACATATCTATTTATATTTATACCCTCCCTCGTTCCAAAATGAGTCTAAGTTGGTTAACCCGAGTATAAGAATAGAAACAATTCTTTTAGTTTCATGAAGCCTGTGTATCTGAAAAATATTTTAAAGATCATACTTATTTTTCCCAAGTCATTCCAATTCATGTGAAATAAAGAAACATTTGTTGAATGTAATGTTAACAAAAAAAAAAAAGAAGAATTGGCAGAGACTGGCACGTCTGCACACTTACATCATACAATTCTTTCGCATCCTGACCAGCTAGATCTTTGTCCACATTATCTTCTTCATCACGATTAGCCTAGAAAAATCAACACATTGTTATTAACTTGAGCACTTGTTTGACCACAGAGCACAAAAAGGGAAAGTCCTAGAAAGGGGGTGATTTCAGAGGAGTGGCCTGAAGCTAGATTCAGCCTGGCCAAGTGGCAACGCTGCTCTTTGCTGCCATCTTTTGGGCACAACTGATAAACAGAGTACCTTCTGTGACAATTTTTTCATTTTGTAGAAACCAGGGTCACTCAGAAACCCCACTGACCGCTAAGCAACCTCATGATGCCCCCTAGAACGAGTCCATTGCAAAGCTAATAAGCTTCCTTCCAAAAATATCAAATTTCACCTCTCGGGGTCCCAGTCCGGAAGAGCCCTGAATGCTGGTCATTGGAAGGGCTTGGAGGTCTAACCTAAGCCCTTCCTGGCAGGCAGAATTCTAAGATGACCCCAGTGGCCCACACCCTTTTGATCCCCTTCCTTTGAGTGTGGGCAAGACCTGTCACTATGGTGAGATATCACTCCTGTGATGATGTTATATTTATGTGGCAAAGGGGATGTTTGCGGATGTAATTAAGATTCCTAAACAGTTGAGTTAATCAAAGGAGGTATATCCTGGGTGGGTCCGATTCAATCGGGTGAGCTCTTAAAATGTCAGAGATGGAAGTTAGAGAGATGCGCTCCCTCTGGCCTGGAAGAAACCAAATTGTCATGCTCTGAACTGTCTATGGGGCCACATGGCGGGGAACTGCAGATGGCCTCTAGGAGCTGAGAGTGGCCTCTGGTTGACAGCTGGCAAGAAAACAGGGACACCAGTCATGTAGCCACAGGAACTGAACTCTGCCAACAGCCAGGGAGCTTGGAAGAGGACCCCGTGCCTCAGAGGAGATGGCAGCCCCGGCCAATACCTTGATTTCAGCCTGGTGAGACCCCAAGCCAAAGACTCAGAAAACAGGGACACCAGTCCCATAACAGGACTCATGGCCCATAGAAACTGCTAGATCATGGATCTGTGCTGTTTAGTGGCAGTTTGTTATGCAGCAGGAGGACACTTATATACTCTTCCTGCTACAGCTGAAGTCTAGTCTGTGTGTTCTCTATTGTGAGTCTATCCACACAAAGAGTAATGAAACAGAGGAAATACACAATCTCATAAAGATGGATGTGTCAATGAGAGTGCAGATGCCATCTGGCTGGAGGCCCGGGGCCTGTGTCCCCAGCAGGGCCAATTCTGAAAGTTCTGCTTTCCCGGCCAAGCTCCCTGCAGCAGTTTTTACGGACTTAGACTCGAGGTGAATCCTGGAAGTAAGTGCAGAGTTGTGTCATGAAAATGGTCCTGCTTGGGGTCAGATGGGCTGGTTCTTGCTCCTGGGCTGTGTGTAAACCTGGAGGTTCCTCACTGGCAGAATGAGGTGGTGATGCTTAATGAGATAACACCTTAACAAAAAGGGATTGTAACTGCAAATGACTAGGTGGATTGTTATTATGGGGAAAATCCCCATTGAATCATTTCACAATAGCTGAGCTGACAGAACACAGGTCGAGGATCCCTCCATAACATTTTTCAGAAAAGAAGGGAATGTTTATCATCTGCATTGCCTTTTTCAGCATTGTCTCATGTTGCCGAGAGCTATTTTCCAAGATCATAAAGCAGGTGAGACCTCTTTACTCTTACCTGTAGCAGGGATACCAGAATTTTTTTTAGGTTTCCACTTGTGTCATCTTTGACATCTGCTTCAAGGCTCTTGTCAAATACTTTAGGGGAAGAGAAATGGGGAGGAGAAGTCAGATTTAGTTTTCCAGAGGTATTTTGGAAGGAACATTCTTTATCTAAAGTCAGAACAAAAGATCACTTACACCTTTGGTAGGCTTCTTTAATGGCGATGATTTCCTAGGAAAGGTAAAAAAAAAAATCAGTAGTCCAGGGCAGGGTTAGTTGATGAGACAGGCAGAGACATGCAAAAGGAAGAGGCAAGAGATTGTCTCTGGTCACAGGATACCTTCCTGACTTCCTCCACAGGGGGCCGTCCCTACAGGTCAAGGATGAGGCCTGGAGCAAGTCCCTGGCTCTGTGAAGGAGTCCTTTGGCATTCTTTCTCCTTAGTTAAAAGTCCATCTATTACAGCTAAGCCAACATCTTACTCTACCTCCTCACTCCCTCTTACTCCGCCGCCTCCATCCAAGTAGCCAGAGTTAGAAGTTCAGTGCAAATTTTCCCAAATATTTTGTCTTTGCATTTGTACACATATATATGTGCTACTGAAAATATATAGAATTATTTTATCTGTGTTTAAGAAGTGGAAAACTGTACATATTATTTGTTCTTTGTCTTATTTTTTTCACTCAGTACTATGTCTTGGAGGTCCAGCCAAGCTTATACATAGTCAGTCACCTAGTTTTTTTTTTTTTAATGGATACACAGTGTTCCATCCTATAGTAAGCCCCCGTTTATTTAGCCAGCCTCCGATTGATGGACGTTTTGCCTGTTTCCAATTTTTCTCTATTTCAAACAAGGCTTCACTCAGTAAACAATTTGCTGTGTGCAGGAAGGCAAGTCTCTCTCTAGGGTGTGTGCCGAGAAGAACTATTTCACAGGCACACGTTGGAGTTACTATGGGTTTGCTTCCAGGCCACCCCTATAAAACAGATACCCTAACAAAGCGAGTCACATGAATCTTTCGGTGTCCCAGGGCATATATCAAAGTTATGTTTCCACTATACTGTGGTGTATTAAGTGTGCAGTAGCATTATGTCTAAAAAATGCTCATACCTTCATTAAAAAATACTGTGTTGCTAAAAAATGTTAATTATCATCTGAGACTTCAGAGAGTCATCATCTTTTTGCTGGAGGAAGTTTGAAATATTGTGAGAATCACCAAAAAGTGGCAGAGACAGAAAGCGAGCAAATGCTGTTGGAAAAGTGGTGCCGATAGACCCGACAGCGAAGGTTTGCCACAAACCTTCCATTTGTAAAAAACAAAAACAAATCACAGTAAAGTGAAGCACATAAAATAAGATATGGCTGGATATTTCAGTGGCTTGTGTCAAGTGCCCCCACCCCCGGAAGCGGCCTCAGTTTACACTTCAACCAGCAGCGTATCAGAGCAGGCGTGTCCCCCCGCATCTCCCACAAACTGTCTAAGATGAGAGTCAGCGGGCAGCGATGGGGGGATGGTAGTGGGGGCAACAGAAGGTGAGGAACCAGGCTGATGTTGCTTTGGTGGATGGGAAGGAGGTGCAAGGCGGGTGTGGGCTGAACACCCGTGATGACACAGCCCCCTCCCCTTTCTCCTCCTTCTAGCCCACTACCAGGATCTGCCTGAACCTGGGGGCGGCTCTCTCCCTGCTTTTCTTCTTCTTACTGTCAAATCTATTTGATTGAAGGAAAACAAGATCTTTTTCACTGTTTGGGACCAGGACCTAAAATAAGCTCAGGCTAAGGGTGAACCACATATGGACAAATGAGATTAGAAAAACAAGGACTGAATGAACCTTCTTGCCAAGGCAGGCTGCTGATGGCCCGGATATTGGATGCTGGGTTACTGGGACTTGGGTGCTTCTGGAAAGAATAGGAATGTTGAGTAAGGAAGTGGTGTGGCTGTTGGACTGAATGGATGCAATCTTCCTGTGCTAACCCTCCTCTGAGGTACAATCCCAAATGGAAACTCCCAAAATGGAGGGGCTTTATTATCCTGTGGGAAGGCAAGAAAGTCCAGGGATGCTCAGGAAAGGGGTTTGCAGCTGTCGCACGGAGCACGGCGCAGGCTGAGCAGGAAGAGCCAGCTCGGGTCATCGGCACGCAAGGCTTAAGTCGCACTGTAGCCTCAGAGGGCTGTTACAGTTCTTCTTGCTGCCTGCTCCACCCACTGCTTCTGTTTCCTACCTGGGGGGCCTCAAGGATGTTGGGCTTTTCTCGCGTTTTCCTTCCTGGACCTCCCCATTCTACATGATGGGGGTTGCAGAAGAGGGAGGGGTCTCCAAATAATGATTTGTGGACCCTCCCTGATGAATTCCTTGGCCCTTGTGGCTTCTGGAATCAGAGACTTCTGTGGGCTTCTGCTAGGGTCTTAACAAATGCTCTTTTCAGCTCCTGAAATGGTGGCATGTGCCCAAGGGACAAGCGGCGAGGTCTGCTGATGGGAGGACACGAAACCTCTGGGGAGGTGGTGGCAGCCCCAGGGGGCTCACTGGGAGCCCCTCGGCACCACCCACATCCCTGCCTCGTGTCTGTGCTCTGTGCTAGAGGCAGCCATGCTTGGACTTCTGATTGCGTCACTCATGCCAGTGGACCTGCAAAGTTAGGCTGGGAGAGTAAAGTAGAACTTTCCCCCTGTGTATAAAACTGTGCATCTCTTTAGAAAAATGAAAGCTGAATTGACCCAGCTCTTCTGAAAGGATCTCTTCTGTCAAGCCAGGGGCAGCAACACCAAGACTGACCATCAGAAGACTGGAAGAGGTGTCTCTCCTGTGGGCCAAGAGGACACATCTCTGCCCAGACACTTGCTCACCCCGTGGGTGGGATGCGAGGAGGACGTGCCTTTCTGGGGGCCGTAACCATCTCTGATGGGCATGTGGACCATCTCTTGGGGGCGGGTCCAGGTCCTGGCCAGGACTCACCGTGTTAGTTTTCGTGCACAGGACCTCGATGAGCACCGCCTCGTCCGTGCCCAGGCCCTTCATGGCCTTCCGCAGCTGCCGGGCAGCGTACTCACTGGGGCGGTCCAGAAGGGCCAGAGCTGTCTTCTCGAAGTTTCCACTCAGCTCACCCTTGAGCACCTCCTCCAGGTCCTGTAGGAAGACAGCGAGAGCCTTGACTGGGAAGGGCCTGAGAGCAGAGGGACAGATGTCGGCTCTCCCCACTGCATGGCCTCAGGGGTGACAGGACACCTGTTGTGAGCCCCTGGGGCACCATCTAGACAGGAGCTCTATGGGCATGAGTAACCTGCTCTGGAGGACAGAGGTCACCGACTGCCCAAGGCTGGCAGAGAGGCAGAGAGAGGATCCCCTGCTCAGAGCTGGGGACCCCAGAGCTGAATCACAATAACAACCAGCATTTGCGGAACATCTTAGGGCTCAGAGAGCTTTCTCACTGATCCTCAAAATGACCCTGGCAGGACAGGCATTGGCATTACCGACATTGACTGAACCTCAGAAAGTTGGAGGACTCACCCCCAAACCCTTGGCTAGAGAGGACTGAAATGCAGGCTTGTGATCTCTGGGAAATTAGATCATTCATTGTCCAAATTGGGTTGCTTTTGAGAGTGAAAGGGGACACTATGAATAATTGCAGGGGGACAACAGGAATAAAGAAGGACTTTCCTGGGCAAACCAGATGTACAGTCCCTTTGGTATTTTGTTAAATCCTGAAAGAGACGCATGTGGGAAAGAACTCAGATGAGGGGAGGGGAAGTACATGAAATTCTCATCCGCATCCTGTTTTTGGCAAGACCGTCTAATCGCAAGTGAACCACCTGCTCCTACCTATCTCCCTCTGACTAGAAGGTTGAATGAGGAAAGAGTCAAGAATGGGCGGTCAGTCCAACTGCAGTTATCAACGTCCCAACTTAAATGAGGGACCTCCAAGCAGTTCCTTCACGCAGAGAGACAGCCCCGTGTGGGTCAGACTGGAGGCCCACAGACCAGCTGGCATTTCAGGACCCCAAATTACAGCACTGAGTGGGTCTGGCTACTCTGCACCATGGCCTGATAGTCAACAACAAAGTCATAGTAGCTCTGTGACCTCGGACATGTACTGAGTGTCACCAACTGTCAGTTTCCTTCTTTGAAAAATGGGGAGAATGGTAAGACTTACCCCTTAGGACTGTTGGGAGAATTAAATGAGATAATCCATGTAAACACTGAACACAGTGCTAGCACATTTTAAATATTCAGTAAGTTGTTGTTATTGTTATTATTATTATTATTATTATTATTAATTATTATTATTCCATCCTGAACGGAACTTTCAGAGAAAATGCAAATCACCCATTTCTCAAATGAACCTCCGTGCTCCAGGCCTGGGAGAAAAACCCAGAAGATTTTTGTCCAAGGCCCTGGGATCTGCAGTCTTAAAAGCAGGTTGTGACATTACTGCCTCCATCCCTGTGGCAGTTGCTGTATCTAACCCTGAGTCTTGTGAAGACAGGCCTCTGGTCAGTACTCTGGTGTGGATCCACCCAAAGATTGGAATTATTTTTTCAGATCAGATGGATATTATATAGAACTGCAGAGAAGAGAAATCCCAGCTGCCTGCTCTTACAAACCACAAGCATAAAAACAAATCCTTGTGTGTTTACATTCTGCTTGGACACGGGAGCCAGCTCAGGATACCTCGGCTCTAATCCTGGTTTCCTGCTAACTAGCTGTGTCACCTTGGGATGGTTATTCTCTCTGGAGCTCAGTTGACTTGGAGATTTATATTTGGTCATCCCTCACGTCTTCTAGCTTTGTCATGTTATGGTTCTAGATCACCTCTTTGGCAGTCTCGGTTGTCTGAAGAAAGGAAGCAAATGACTGGCAGATGTAGGATCTGCCAAGATTTGTGCGAGAGCGTGACCAGTTTAACAGGGCCCCTTGGTCCTCACTTTGAACCCATTTGCTCTTACTTTACACGGAAGCTTAAGAAGCCTGCCTCTGACTTTCCGTATCAGCAGGACAGAAATAGACATAGCACTTGAGAGGCTGCTGTAGATAGACACGTTGACAAGGACGAAAGTTCAACGTTATTCAATTCAGTTCAATGCAGCTGAACTGAAGCTTCACTTATTTTCATCAATGTCACCAACGAGTGACATTGACAAGCCTGATTACGAGGAGAGAAGCAGAAGAAGCTACGAAAGCACAGACGTCTAGGCCGTTTAACATACAAGTAAATAGCTCCTCTCATGACAACGGATTTGCCAGGAGTGGAGGCTGGTCCTGGAGACAGAAGACTTGGATTTGAGTCTTGGTTCTTTTCCTTACTGTGTGGTTTTGCAGAAGGCATTTAAAGAGATGAGCTCCACATTTCCTCTCGCTAAAATGGAAACAATCATACCTATCATAGCTTCCCTTTACTGGTATGTGTCAGCATCACCTTGCGTGATTTTCTCCCCGGCAGCCTGAGAAGGGAGCAAAATTACTATTTTAATTTTATCTGTGAGGAGACCAAGGCCTGAAGAGACTGTTGCCTATCCAGTGTCAAATAAGTAAGAAAATCCATCTCCATCTCTTTATCTACTTATACACAGTTATTGAGACTGTAAAGGTTTTATACATTTGGATTAGACTGCAGCATAATCATTAATATTTACTTTGCAAATAACATTAATTAAGAAAATGTTAAATTGTGTTCATTATATATTAATGAAGAAAATAGAAAGCCTAATGCATTCTTAAAGATTTCTATGCACAGCAACACCATCAGCAACGAAAAGAACGAAGGAAAAGAAACTTAAAGAAAGAAAAAGGATTGATGCTTCATGAAACGGAGGCTTTTTGTTTGGTTCATTCGTTGGGTTTTTTGTTTTGTTTTGTTTTTAGCTTTTGAAACAATCACTTATGAAGAATATATCATTCTTGAAGACACCTGAATAAACAAACAATTCTTGTATAAAGACCCACTTGTGAAAACTAAAACTAATTTTCAAATCACTTGCCTATCTATAAGTTAATATGTGGGACTAGATCAAACGAGTGGAAAAAAATGACTGAAGGATTAATAAAAAAGGAAGTCAATTAAAAATAAGTTAAAATATTGATTTTATAGGCAATTAAGTTAACAAAGCAATTTCAGATCTTCTGAAATCAGTTAGATTTTTGAATAGTTGTTTCATTTTATTTCTCTTGGGCTAACTCAATAAAGCTTTATAGAAAAAAAAAGTTTCTTCTGTATAGAACAGGGGACTATATTCAATATCTGGTAATAACATTTAATGAAAAAGAATATGAAAACGAATATATGTATGTATATGCATGACTGGGACATTGTACTGTACACCAGAAATTGACACATTGTAACTGACTGTACTTCAATTAAAAAAAATGAAAAAAGAAAAGACTGTCAAAAAAGTATTAAATAAAAGAGGTTTCAAACTTAAAAAAAAAAAGCTTTAAAGATATTCCTCACTGCCTTGGGAAAGTAAAGGAAGCAGAAGAGACAATCATGGTCAAAGCCACGTGCACGCTGGCCCAGGACCCTCAGCATCACCTTGCCATACGTTGTCTTGTACTTTTGTTTTATTTGCTGCCTCTCATTCGATGTCCTGCTTGATAAGATTTCAATGATGGCGGCTTCATCAGTTCCTAAAATGCAGGAGAAGGAGAGAAAACCACAGTGAGCAAGAAAAAAAAACAGAGGTTTATTTTAGTCCATGTGGGGAAGCCAGGGTGGTGGTCAGAGGCTTTGCTGGAACCTAGATGGACCGTTTGACTTGAATGTCTTGTGCTGAGAACTGTATTCTTTTCACTCACTTGACAAATATCCATTGAGGCCTCACAATGCTTGAAGCACAGTGCTAGGCATTGTAGCAGAAAGAGGAACAAATATGGTCTCCACCTTAATTTCACTCCTCGGCATATACTCAAGAGAAATGAAATCCTATGTCCATTCAAAATTTGTATTCGAATGCTCTTGGCAGCATCATTCATAATTGTCAAAGATGAAAACAATCTGTATGTCCATCAATGGACACATGGATAAATAAAAGGTGCTATAGCCATATAGTGGAATATTACTCAGCCAGAAAAAGGGATGAGGTCCCGACACTTCCTACAATATGAATGAACCTTAAAATCATTATGATAAGTGAAGGAAGCCAATCACAGAAGGCCACATGTTATAATTCTGTTTAAATGTAAGTCCAGAGTAGGGAAACCTATAAAGACAGAAAGTAGAATAGTGGCTGGGGGTGGAGTAGGCAGAGGGCTGATCACTAAAGAGTAGGAGGTCTCTTTTTAAGGTGATGAAAATGTTCTAAATTGACAGTGGTGATGATTTCATATTTCTGTGAATACATTAAAAACAACAAAATTGAAAACTTTAAATGGGTAAATTTTATGGTGTGTGAATTATACCTAAAAAAAAGTTAAAAAAAAACTAAAAAAAATATGGTATAGTCCTTGGCCTCCAGGTACTTAAAATGGAGTAGCAGAGATTAAGATATAAGCCTAAATTGATAGACTGTTAAACCCAGCCATAAACATGCAAATCTCAGGAGAAAATTCCTTACTGGGAGCATGAGATGTAGTTGTCTCCAAACTCCTTTGAATCATGCTCTTTCTAAAAAGATTTTCTTCCCTGATGCTCAAATTAATACTTGCTCCTTGTAGGTAATTTGATTCATACCAAAATGATAATGAATAAGAAAGAAGGGGAGAGTATCCTTTTCTGAACATGGCGACAGGACAGGAAAGATGACCCAGGTGCTGCAGGTGTGGGAGTGAGAAAGACTAATCAGCCAACCCTGAACTGAATTTCTTCAAACTGGATTCAAATCGTGGCTCCATCCTTAAACCGTATGACATTGGGCAAGTTGTTAGCTTCGCCAAGCCTCAGTTTTCCCACCTGTAAGGTGGGGGTGATAATGAACAAGGCTATTGTGAGAATGAAATGAGAGAATCCAAGGAGGGATTCATGGCGGTCCTGTGAGTGCAAAGGGGTCATGGAACCAAGTGTTCCTGGGCTGCCTTAGATCCTGGTGGGGCTGGCGCTGAGGCCACCCTCCCATGGGCTGTCACCTCAGTGACTGAGCTGGGAGGAGCATCCAAAGGCTTCTGGTCCAAACTCGTATTTACAGATGAGGAAACAAACACAGCTCACAGCCTCTTCTTGGTTCCCACATGTACCTGACTGTTCCATAGTATTTGAATTCATGGACTCTCCTCTGCTTGCATGCTTTCCATCTCTCCTCCGTCCCTTCCTTCAGCGCCTCCACCACCCGCCTCTCAGCATCCTCCAGCAGCCCTTCTTCACCTGCCCTTTACGCTCAGCTTCCAGTTCTCCTTGTTAATTGCCGCCACTCTCCCCTCACTCACTTGTGACCATTGCCCTTTGGCAGATGAATCCTAAATTAGTGCCTCTAGCCCTTTTCCTTGGAGCGCAGATCTTATTTCCTGCTGCCAGTGGCCGTCTCCCCATGACTATCCCAAGGCATTTCAGTTTCCCATGTAGCTAAACTGCGCTCAACCTGTCTGTCCTTAAATCCACTCCTCGCCGTGTTAATTTCATCTAAGTATGTGGCATCATCCGAATTAGAAAATTAAAAGTCACTTTTGAGGGTCCGCCTTTGGCCTCTTTTATTTTCCAATACCAGCCCATCCCGTCTGTCTCACCTAGGAGACAGCTCTTCCCTCATCATTCCTCCTGCCAGTGCCTAATCCGTCCTCCTTGCCTTTAGTCTCCCTGACACCAGGCTCTGGTCTCTGAAGCCTGCCCTCCATGCTGTCATCAGAACCATCATTTGGAAGGTTGTGTGTATTCATTTCTCCCCCTGACTTAAAAACCACTAGTGGTTCCTCATGATTTCTAGAATTAAGTGATTATTCCTTAATATGGCTTTGAGACTCCCTACAGCTTGGTTTCAAACTGTTCTCAACCCATCTCTGCACACACCAGCCCAAGGCTCACTCACCTGACCTCGAACACATTTGTCAGTAGGTAAAGCATTTTTAGAAATTATCAAACATTAATTTTCTGCTCCCTCTGTCCCTTCAGAGTATTGCTTATATATATCTCTAGAATCTTTGCATGTTATATGAGATTTTATAAGATTATATGTATATGATATGTATAATATTGCATGTGCATGACATTCTGAGCCTAGTACCTGGGCCATCTGGAGTGGTCACTAAACAGTAATGTTCTCTGTTAGGTGACACTTCCTTCTTTCTTGGGTAAGGTTGTGTTGGGTCTGTTTCGCCCATCAGATCTGCTTTTCTAATGTGTAGGACTATGCATATGACTGGAGAAATTAAAGGTGATTTTAGGAATGAAAGATGAAAGACCATTTAAAATTTTAATAGTTATATGTTTATTTTAATGTAAATTTTAAAAACATACATAGAAGTAAGTCATTAAACCCAAGGTTTTGCTGATGTTTTCTGAAGGATAGGGACTAAAAATGAGTTGATTAAAAGAAAAATGTTAGGTCAGTAGTATTCAGATGGACAGAAATCATGGAAGGTGGTAGTTGAATGGTTGAGTTCTGAAAGTATTATAGATTGCAAACTCTGGCAGCAAGGGTTAGGTCTTACTTAGCTTTGAATCCCTTGGCACAGTGAGTTCACAGTGTATCATGGCTTCACTTAGTATTTTATAAATAAAGACCTTGCACTGATTTACCCACAAAAAAGTGGTGAGAAGCTGAGCCCCTGTAACTCCAGGCTGGTGTGCGTCCCACCCAGTCCTCTGCCTCTCTTGAGGAGGTCTTGGTGCCTTACGCAGAAGGAAAGCTCTTTGAAGGCAGGGCCCCTATTTGTCCTCCGGTTCTGTCCCCATTGCGCCCAACCCGCTGTGAGACAAGAAGTGAGACTGGGCGGTACCATGAGTCTCTCGGTGTCTGCAGAAATACCCAAATGTTTTGCCATCAAATGTGATTTATGTTTAAATAAGACTTCAGGGAGACCAGGGGCCAGATGCATGCGGAGGAACTAAGGAAGGCCTGTGTGATTGTAGGGAGAAGGTGCAAGGACTGCTGGGTAACGCTGGGACCTTGCCTATCACAGGCTGGGAAGAAGGGGCAGGTGCAGTTCTCGACCTTGTACAACAGAGAACCAAGAACTCCCAGGCCCTGGGCTGGTTTCCATGACCTCCCACCCAGGGGTACCCAGCAGTTACTCCAGATTTTTTGACAGAGGAAAACCTCGGGGCTGCGGTCTGGTTGGAGGTCAGGGAGGCTAGCAGATTTGTTTGAAGCTGCATATGTGTTGAACACACACTACTTTTCCTTGGCTTACACATTTATTCAGGGACAGCTTTGGTGGAGGCTGATGGAGACTGCCAGTGGGCTAGAGCCGGTTTCCTAACCCCACACCCAAGCTGAATCTGTCGCTAGTGGAATTAGAGTTGGGTGAAAGCAGCTGGCTGGTTAAATGGGAGATTTGAGGTTTCCCAGAAAAGTACCTCCCCCTGGTCCCCAAATACCCTCTTTGTGATTCCTATCATAAGCCCTGACGTCTCCACTGTTAGAATTACTGAGGCTAAGGTGTCCTCTCTCTAAAGGCACTTTCCAGAATGCAGATCACACATGGTAGCACTTTAACTTAAGAGGGGAATAGTTCATGCAGATGGACTCTCCCCTAGCAGCCCCGTGGTGTTAGAAGCTGCTCGTGTGGTGGGAGAAATGTAAGCTCTGGAGTCAAAGCTGGGTTGGATTCTGGTTCTGCCACATACCAGCTGAAAGACTCACTTTAGAGCTGTGTGGTTCAATCCCGCAGCAGATGTGGCTAGCAAGCACTTGAAATGGGCCAGTCAGACTTGAGATGTGCTATCAGTGCACAATGCTTGCTCCATTTCAAAGACTTAGTATAAAAAATGAGTGTAGACTATCTCAATAATTTTTTATAGTAATTACTTGTTGAAATGTTGATATCTTGAGTCAAATGAAATACAGTATTAAAATTAATTTCACTTGTTTCTTTGTACGTTAAAAAAATGTGGCTTCTGGAAAATTTGAAATTCCGTTTATGGCTTACAGTATATTTCTGTCCGGCAGTGCTATCCTGAGTCTCACCTGTACCCTCCGGCAGATGGAGGTTATGACAATCTGATGGCATAGGGGCTTTGAGAGGCTGAGATAGGCTGCGAAATCTGTATCTAGACAATAGTAAAGCTCTGTTTGCATGTTATCTCTTTGTCCATCTTGGTCCTTAGCAATGTGTACATTTCCATGGGAATGGATACCCTGGCAGACCTCCCATCTGACTCTTCTCTTGTATCCTGGCTGTCAGGAGACACTCACTATTATGAGTTGAATTGTGTCGCCCCAAAATACGTTGAAGTCCTAATCCCCAGGACCTTAGAATGTGACCTTATTTGGAAATAGGGTTGTTACAAAAGTAATCAAGTTAAAATGAAATCATTGGGGTGGGATCTAATCCAACATAACTAGTATCTTTATAAAAAAGGAAAATCTGGACACAGAGACAGACTCAGAGGGAAGATAATGTGAAGAGACACAGGAGAACTGCAGTGTGAATTCAGAAGGTTGGGGTGATGCATTCACAAGGCAAGGAATGCCTGCAGCTCCCAGAAGCCAGAAGAGAGACATGGAACAGGTCCTTTCTTAGCATCTTGAGAGGGAGGA